TTCCCTTCTCTATTATATATGTATATATTCCTTAGATATATATTGTGTGTGTTTTATATACGATTACTAGTACGACTACTATTACTAATAACTTCTATATATATATATATATATTTATTTATTTATTCTATTATACCAATATCTATGTTATATAGCAGTAATATCGCATATTTATATTACTTAATTTATTTATATATCTTTTAGATAGGGCTTCCTTTAAACATTTAGACATCTTTTGAATGTTTGTTCGCGCATTTTGTATTTTTCCCTTATCTACCATTATTACAACCGCTTATCTTATCCATCGGCTCACATCTTACAATAACATTTCTTCTTCCTGCATTCAAAGTATCGCCGACAGTTTGGCGATACGTTGAGCGTTTTCATTTCTATGCAGCGAGATGGAATAGAGTTCAATGACTCAGAAGGGGACGGTGGGAGGGGAGAGAATGTCTCTCTCTTTCGTGGCATTCCGCGGGATTGACTGCAGGGAAACGAGCTGGCCGAGCTTCTCGTGCGTGAAGTAGGAAAATGCGTCGCGACGTGATAGAAAATACGGTAGAGAGAGGCGGAGCTTTCACCGTTTCCACCTACGAGCCCATCTTTCGGGAGGTATGTCGTTGGACCGGATTTCCCGGACCTTTTCCGTAACCGCGCCTTGCTTCACCTCTCTCTCTCTCTCTCTCTCTCTCCTTTTTCCATTCCCACCACCGCCATCTACCTCCGGGAGCGGCCCCGACATTTTCCTTCATCGACTATCTCTTACCGGTGACGGTGAACCCGCTGGCCGGATTTTTCTGCAGTTCACCTTCTTTAGAACACATTTACGATAGGAGGTAACTTGAAGTGGCTGGTAAAGGTGCTAAATGGGAAACTTGATACTGGTTGGATCTTGAAACGACCGATCCAATAGGCGCGAATATGATTAGATTAATGATAATGATAGAACTGGAGCGCGCAGGAATTGGAGCGAGGCTGGAAAACATTATTAAGCTACTTTGGAATGACGGTAAAAACACAATATAAATCTAATAGGATTATTTGCGTCTAACAAAGAATATCGTAAAGATTATTTACTCGTGATTCATTTACGGATATACGGTCATCAATTTGTTCACTAAGGCAATCGAATAATAAATGTTGCTTTGAAGAATAAATTCCAATGATTAAGTTTACTATAGCGATTGAAAGATAATTATATTTCCCTTTCCCCTTTATCTTTATTCATCTAATATTTTTAGAAAATTGGTGGAAATTGTAGTTATAACAAAATAAATAAAAATGGTAGCTTCCCAATCGTTGTAACATCTACCGATTAAATTCTAAGATCGATAATCTATAAATATTATAAACGACATCTTTTACGTTCACCTTCTCCCTCGATTATGACATGTCATTTATTTAACGCGTAACGATCTCTCGACGAAGTAAGAGAGGACTCTATAGACACTTTTTTTTTTGCTGCAAGGGGTTGCGCTCGCATACCGAGCCACCATCTTGTCGAACGACCTCTCGTTCTCTTGCACCCCAAATGCATCCCGCCTGCGATCCCCAGACTGCACTCTTACTTTGAAAGCATTGGGCTAGCAGTTAGAAATACTATCCAGTTTTTAATGAATCGTAAAACGCTTAAATCGCATCAGAGTAAAGAAGCAAAAGTTCTGATTTTACACGAGAAAAATAATGAAGATTTCACAAAGAGGACGAAATTTTTAGGTATAGAAATTATATATTTTAAGATATATTAAATAACATAATCTTTTTTCTATATTACGATATGTAAAAATTAAAAAAAAAAACTATATTTTTATTCTAGATATTATTTGAAAGTCGATATCGTACCTTTGGCTAGGAATGTCGAAAGGTTGACCTTCCGAGTCGCTTTAATCGATTCGTTACTTTTTCAGATCGTGTCGCCGAGCGGTATCCAGGATGACTGCTTCATCCAAAGCATCGACGCGGACACGTACTCGGTGAGGTTCATGCCGACGGAGAACGGAATCCACCAAATCCACCTCAAATTCAACGGAGTGCACATAACAGGCAGCCCTTACCGTATCAAGGTCGGTAAGGTAGACGCTGATCCGGCAGCATTACACGCCTACGGAAACGGCTTGACAGAGATCAAGACTGGACAGAAGACCGACTTCATCATCGACACATGCAACGCGGGTTGCGGTGCGCTGGGCGTCACCGTGGATGGACCCAGCAAGGTCGCCATGGACTGTACCGAGGTCGAGGAGGGCTACAAGGTCAGGTACACGCCTTTGGTACCGGGCGATTACTACATCAGCATCAAATATAACGGCTATCACATCGTGGGCTCGCCATACAAGGTTACTTGCACAGGTGCATATTCTTAATAAATGGGTACTAATAATAATGAACGAGTTATATTATCGAATAAAACTTTTTGCGTAGAAGATAATAGAAGAGAGATAATAAATATCATTTATATATATTTCAGGTGCGGATTTGGCGGAGAGAGGCGCGCAAGAGACAAGTTCAATCGTCGTCGAGACCGTACAAAAGATATCGAAATCCAAGCAGGTTGGCCCGGTATTGCCGTTATTCAAGTCAGACGCGAGCAAGGTGACGAGCAAAGGCATGGGTCTCAAAAAGGCTTATTTAGGAAAGCAAAATCAGTTCACCGTAAGCGCGGGAGAAGCTGGTACGTTCTGTTATCGAAATTGTGTATATTTGTTACATACCCTCTCTTTGTTTCTTGTTCAGACATATAAAAATTTATTTTCTACAATTAAACAGCGGTTGATCCGTTGATTACACATCTATATCTTTTTGCATTTAAATAATTACTTCAAGTACATTTGTAGCATTAAGGGTTAATTAATTTTATAGGTTTTTTTACTATCATTTACAAAATTATATATTGTGTCTAACGCGTCAATCGATATCGTAATTGTAGGTAACAATATTCTCTATGTGGGCATCTACGGTCCTAAAGGGCCATGTGAGGAGGTATTCGTGAAGCACGCGGGTCGCAACAACTACAACGTTAGTTATCTAGTGCGCGAGCGGGGCGAATACATCGTGATCGTCAAATGGGGCGACGATCACATTCCCGGCTCACCCTACAAGGTCGAAGTTTAAGCTGAACCCAACATCCAGATCAGATGCAATGCGTCTGCAGCCGCAGCGATGCAAAATAGAGCTATACTTCGTCTCGATGTAGATTGGAGTCTTGGAATTTGCAAAACCTCGCCAAATTAGAAACGAATTAAGTGTTCATCTAGACTTCCGGTTGTGTATTTGTAATTCAATTTTAAAATTATTGGCAAATCAAGATCTATTTAAAAAGGATTTACGTCGAAACGACGCATTGCTCGATTTCTAAAATAGTAGTTGTATTTAGGAGACAACTATTGACGCTGACGATAAAATTGCGATGACTTCTTACCGACATAGTTAATTCGCTCATCCTTCCAAGGTCTTGGGGACAATTTTGACATTTTAGAATTCTTGTTGAGAGAGTAGAGTCGCGAATAGAAGCAACGACAGTTAATACGACGATAAAAAGAAAATACGTAGGTCAATTACTCGTTCGTTCAAAAACACCAATTGTGCCTTTGATTAGATGCAAATACATTTACAAAATATATAAAACATGCAGAATATATACAACATGCACATACATATGCAGACACGTACAAAGCTACGTAAAGACGCAATCATGCCCCACGTCCAAGTCAGATTATGTTATATGTCATCGGTTATTAAGTATATAGATTAAATATACTGCAATTGATTATTATAATAATAATATAGAAGTTAAATAAATAATATAGTGACCGCCGCGCGGATCTATACGGAGCGCAATGTCGAGCTCCACCTTCGCCGCCACTTTCACCGCCGTCAGCTACCTCCTCCACTTCCGTCTTCACCACCTCCACTTCCGCCGCCACTTCCCGTTTCCGTCACCTATTACGTAGCTCGTAAACCCGACGCGCCATTTTGCGTGACCCTTTTTCCACCTCCGCGCGATGACCTCTCCTTGCTCTTCCTGTGACCCTTCTCGCCGGTCCCGCTTCCGCTTTAATCAGAGCGCTTCTTCAGGGCTGTAGCGCAGAGATAAGAAACGGAAATTAAACACGCTAGACATTTGCAAAACTCGTAGCGCATAATGCAATTTTTAAGAGATCATCCGATTTTGTTTATTAAACTGCATACCAAAATATCAATACAATTGAATTTTATTCGCGTTTCAAGGATAAAACTTGAAAGATAACTTTTATCTTTTTATTTATTTCAATTTCCTGACCGTAATCATATTTTAAAAACATTTGGCTCTTGTTTGAAGGATTTGTCCATTCAAACGAGAGTTTTAAAATGCGGCGTTAAGCGATGAGTATAAAGTTTTGAAAGACTTTCGATACCAGGTCTTTCCGGTTCTGTAGCATACTGTAGCGATTTATCTGTATCTATTTTCTAACTTATTCTTAGAAAAAAAATCAATTATATATTTTGTTAATTATAATAAATAAATAAAAAATTAATTTGCACGTATATGTGTGATGAAAAGAAAGATTATATATATTAAATGATTAAAATGGTTATTTTATCAGACAATGCTTCTTTCCCATTACTTTTTCCAGTATTTCATACATAGCGTACATATATTTTTCTATAAAAATGTGAACAAGTTTTTTTCATATAGTTACCAGCTCAATTCTTATAAGAACTGTCTTGTGAAAATAATTTACGTTTTTATTTTCAGACAAAAAAAAATATTGCAGAAAAATGTTATTTTTTAATATCTTTTAATTTGTCTTCCTTATGATATTTATTCCCGATATATTTAAAGTGAGAAATATTAAAACTGACGCTCGCAAATGGCAATTCAAAAATAATATTATTTTGCATGTACATACCTGTCGTATCTTCTTTTCTGACGAAAATATGTGTATCGTATTTGACCAGGGAGAAAAATAATTCATGACAACACAGCATATAATTGTACATTCCATGATCGTTTATTTCGATTACAGAACAGCGATCGGGGGACTTACTTTTCTCTTCTTGATCCGTTTAGTGTATTTACATTAGTTCGCTGGTGCATCGCGAGAGACTGGTTTAGCGATGATCTAAAAGTTTCGGTATAATTATACCGAATGGCCGACGCGTCAAAGGCCGATCGCTCGAAAGAAAACTTTATGTAAAAATTTTGCCGAAACACATTATAAAGGAAGATTATCATAGCGATCGGCTTTCTTTCGCGTCGTCCTTTCGCGTAATCTTAAGAATCTGTAAAATCTCGTTTGTGAAACGAAGATATTGTAGAGCGTATGACGCGCGCGACTTTCGTCGATGAAGATCGGTTGATAGTTTTACCATGTATTTAACAAACAATGAGACCTGTATTCGTTAATCCAGGTGTATATATAAAGTTTATAATACAATGTGATGTAATTGCTGACGCTCAAAGAATTATAAATTACATTTGGAATTACATAAAAAAGTATTTTTAATATATTCGTGATTGTGAACATAACAAGAGTCATTATCGCAAAAGTATTTAAAGTATCAAAAAAGCAAAAAATTAAAAAATCATTATCAAAACGGAATATATCCTATTTTGACAGAATCGTAAAAGTCGTCGAGAACAAATCGATGCATCGTCAAATTGACATTACGATAAGAAATTGTTCATAATCGCGCCTTTGACAATACGTATGGAAGAAAAACGTGTAAAAACGAAGGCGAACATCACAACTTTTCGGAAGGAACGGCGAAATGTGTAAATGATTACGGTCGCGATAATTATTGAAATGCACAAGACTGTATCGGATGATCTTAGAGCGACGCTCGGTGTTGACGATTGTTAAGAACTAACGAAGTTAATTTACTAGCTCTATGATGCATAAACGTACATATTAATCCTAAAGAGTTAATTTACGTAACGCAAAGAAATATACAAGTATTTACAAGAGCGAGACGCGCTCGCTGATAACATTGTCCGAGAATTCCGATTGAACCGCGGATTGCTCACAGGGATGTCGAGCTGACTCATTCACATATAGATGCGCCGCAAATCAGACGGCGACGTTATCATGTTGCATTGCGGACAGAGTTTCTTCGCGCCCTGCAACAACGGCAAGAGAAATCTCATTTCTCGATCAATCTCAAAACTGGAATCATCATCTGACCGTTCGTTTATTTAAGATGCTTATTTATTTAGTACAGAGGACTAGTTCACAGAATAGAAAATGAGAAATTAATAATTTTAGATATATTAATTTTGACACATGCTAATTTAAATGAATTTTATTGATCAATGATAAAATATCAAAATAATTATACGAAGGACAATTTTAGATTTAGAATTCAATCTATCAATTACAATCATTTGACTGTAGTAATATGTAGAGAAAATATTTAAGAACAGGCCCGATTGGCTTAGACATTTTGCGAATATAATCCGAAAATGCTCTTCTCTGTTTGGAAGGATTTAATTTAATCGTTTCGAAATACATGTGAAAAATAATTTAGTGACTTTAGTATATATATATATTATAAAGAGAAAATAGACCTACCAGCGTATGCAACCAGCATTGCTCACAGTGCACGTGCCAACAGCATACCGAAGTGACTGGCTTCTTATATTGTTCCTGCAATCGAAGGATTTTAATACCTCATTATATTAATACGGAATCGAATCGACGCGTGGAAGTTAAATCCGGTTCGACTTCTCGTGGGCGACGAAGACGCAACAAGTACGGTGTGGCCGATAACATTAACGCGGACAAAGTAGAATAAAGTAGGCTTAACGATTGTGAGATCGAGAGTCGAATCGGGCGTTTAGCTAACATTCGTTCTATCTCTCTCGGCTGGTCTCGCGAAATGAATTAAAACGATTATTATTAGCGGTCGTTACATAAGCAGCGGCCAATACGGTCGTTATCTGCCAAGATAGGTAAAATAGCAAACGCATTTTTCTTCCAGGAAAATACGTTTGCCATTTACTTATCTTGGCAGATAACGACCGCTGATCGATACGCTCGAGTGTTTTACTTCTATTGCGCTACGGTCCCGAGATCACCGTCTTATCTCGCGCGACGGGTTATTTCGTGTGATCGCGAATCTAAATAAATGCGGCGAATACGGGGACAGGTAATATTACGTCTCGGACGATGGAAACACTCGACGGCGATATATTAACACGTAATGCTCCTTTGCTACTTCGTTCATTCGTACGACCAGCGTTAAAGAATAATAATATTCGACGATCTAAATATTTCAGGCAGCCGCCGATGGGAAACGCGGTCAAATTTTATGCGCCGATTTTATATCACGTTACAATTATTTACGAGTTGTAAAACGCGCGTTGTCAAATAAAATAATACGGATAAAACGCGACGAAATAATACGTATAATGTAATATTACAAGGACATGAAAAATGATATAAAATACGATAAACGCGCTGTTTTTTCGACTCATTTTTCACATGTTTCATTCGATTTTTCACATATTGAAACCAACTAATTATTTATAACGACAATCTAATAATGATGACTCGATTATAACCATGTGCTGCATTAGCGTTCGAAAGTTAATCGGCCCAATTTTTATACGCGGTTTCAATAATCGTTTTTCCGAGTCTAAAACCAAGTTTTTATTATTACGTTTGTTTCACTTATTTTGCAAATTATTTTTTATAAATTATTCCAACGCTACATTATTCCTTAAAAATTCAATTATCAAAAAACAGTACATTTTAATTTGAGACTTCGTTTTCCTGCCTTGAAAATCTAAACGATAATAAGTGCATTTCTAATGCCTATGTATTTTTGTCCAAATTTTTTTTTAAATATATATATATAGTTTATATTATACAATTTATTTTTATAGAGATTATTGTGTGTTTATATACATTACGGATCTACTGCTTCTCAGAGTTAAATATTCAAATGTCTCAACGAGAGACACAATTCAAGGACACGTTACCATCTTATTTATCTTTATTCGGATTAGTTGAGTGTTCGTTAATTAACTCACCATGCAGATGAGACACTTAAAGAGTTGCCCGCGCATCTCGGCCTCGAGCTCGCGGATTCGGCCGCGAAGTGCCTCCATGACTGGCGTGTCGCCGTCTCTCCTGGGCGACACAGAAGCGCCTTCATCGGGATCGTTCTGCTGACCGACGGGTGTCGTGGTGCCCGGTTCCGGCTTCACCTCGACCAGGCCAGTTAGTCCGGAATCCGGGGTCAACTGTTGCGGCGTGTGCGGCGCGTTTGGCGAAATGACGGCTTCGCGAAGGGCGTCCCGTTCCTTTTGTTCGCGCGGCGTGCCGTCGATTCGCGGCGCGATCACGTCCGCCTCGGAATATTGAGCCGGGCCGAACTCAGCGGCATCGTCGCCGTCGACTACGAGGTCTACGTCCTCGTCCTCCTGATTGCTGCCTCCGCCCCCGCCCCCGACGCCGCTGCCGGAGCGATTGCTCGAGGAAGTCGCGAGACCTGCGGCTGCAAAGCGAAAAAACGACAAGCTCTTAGCACGTCCATGAAGATTGCGGGAAAGCGTAGAGTTGAGAAAAGATTACGCGTAATCGGCTATATATTCTTCCCAGATAATATTTCTTTTTATATATCGCATTATGATTTATATTTATGTAATGAAAAAATTTGTGTGTCTCTACAATAATATGCTACATAAAGAGTTATGTTGTTGAAAGAGAACGGTTAAATGTGTAATTATGTAATATGGAACCAACTGCAATATTCAATCGATTGCGATTTTAAATCCTGTTTTATATAAAACGTGTTTGAGATTTGATATCAATTGTAGATTTTTATATAAAATGCGAAGAATGTTACATTCCAAAAAATTATCTAAGATTAATCTTAATTTAAGTAATTGTTTTTGACATACATATGTCAAAGTGTCAATACAATTTTGCTAAATAAAACTGTAAATTCGCAGATAATGTAAAGAAAATTTTCGCTCTACGGAAATTCAAGACCTAACTAAAATAACGCTCTATAAAATGTTTGTTCATGTCAGAATACAAAGTAAACTCTATCACACAATTCATAATTATCGAACATGTATTCATTTTACAGTTTCATGCGCATTTAACATTTCTATATCGATTTAGTACTTTTAAATAAATATAAAACTGTACATTATATGTGCTTAATAACCGCAAATTTAATGCATATATATTTGCCCTCTTCTGCATATATAATAAATTCGCGTAATTTAATGCAACAAATGTACACTCACCGGAGAATCCACCGACGAGCATAGAAGAGGCACGCACTCTTCTCTGACCGGCCCATTCGTATTCCTCAAAGGTCTCGGCATCACCCTCGACGTCGACGTCCTCCTCGTCGAGATTCGCGTTTTGTCCGGCCGGGTTCCCATTGTTCTGCTTATTCAAGCATCGATCGACATGCTGATTCAATTCCTCTGGGGTGCCAGATAATCTCTCGCTGCAAACCGGACAGGATGCCTCGTCCGCTTTTCTCTTCCGA